CCGGTCTTTGCACGACCCGATCACTTCCGCTCCCTTTCTCTGAGGGATGCGAACGGCACGATACGTTCTTATCCCGGCCAGGGCCGTCTGTGCACTACGCGGTTACTGCCGCTCCCTTTCTCTGTCGGACGAGGTGTCTGCCAGACTCGCTCTCTGCAGGATACGTTCTCGGTATCACCCGATATCGAAAGATATGGTTCGGCAGAGACCAGGTGAGGCACAGACCGAGACAAGCAGAGAAGCGTGAGAGACAGAGTAAGGCGAAGACGTGGTGAGTGACAGAAAATGGGAAGCAGAGATCGGGTGAAGCAGAGACCGAGTCAAGCATGTACAGGCTGATGCACATACCATATCAAGCAGAGACCGGTAGGCACAGGCCGAGTAACGCAGAGACCTTGTTAACCAGAGACGGAGTCAAGTGGAGACCTGGTGAATCACACCGCGTAAAGAAGATACCGGTAGAGACTCAGACTGAGTACGGCTGAGACTGTGTGAATTAGACAGTAGCAGATTCGGGGTTCGGCAGTCTAGTTCTGATACGGATGGGTTAGGTCAAATTTGGAAAAAAAAATTCAAATTTTTCGAAAAATCAAAAACGCTGCAAATCTTCAGAGAGGCGCACAAGTTGAAAATTTTCAAAATTTTTCAGTTTTGTGCACTTTTGGGTGATTTCCTACGTTTTCTGATTATCAGAAAATTTTGGAAAAATTAGAAAACAAAAAATTTTCGAAATATTTTTAATTTTTTTTAAGTTTCAATTTTTCAAAAATTTCCAGACTTGTGCAATTATTTGTACGATTTGCATTTCTTGATTTGTAGAATTTATTTTCAAAAATTTCTCTTCCCCATCTGTACCAGAATTGATCTCTGTCAGACCCGGTCTGTACCACACCTGGTCACTGCCACTTGGTCTCTTCCTCACCCGGTCTATGCTTCACCTGGTCTTTGCAGAGATTGATGAATAATTTTTAAAATTCGAAAGTTCCACCAGACACCTGCACCGGCCGAGGCCAGGTTTGTTTCAAACACTCAGCTTTTATTAATTGTAGAACTGTAACTGCTCGCATCTGTCTACATGTTCTGTGTGTTTGGAAGAAAAAATTGAACACATTCAAATAAGAAATCTCATGGAAACAAGTAACAGATACATAAGCTTTTCACATGCCAGATAAAAACAACAATCTGTTATACTTATATTTGGAAAACAAGACAATGAACAATAGCAATGAATAATTATGTAACAAATCCCCTTTCATATGACATAAGTATGGTATTTAAAAATAAACATAAACAATAATATCCAACATGTAACAACACACAAGGTGATGCGTTACCCTAGAACCAAACAAATTTGTGACTAGCATTCTAATATTTGTTTGTAGATATCTTACAAGAGACGGTACTTGTCAAAATTAAATTGTCACATAGTAAACTTCTTTACGGTAAGTGACTATGAAAATTGTATTTTATCATTATAAAACGTTCTTGAATTAATGATAACTTCTGTTCCAAGTGAGATTTGTTTTAATAACTAGTGAAACCAAAAAACAAATTAGGAAAAACATACAATCAATCATGTTGCAAGCCACATGTTACAGTAAAGATTTCATGGTGCTTTTAAACTTAGGTTTCTTACGCATGGCCACTTGGTGTTAACACGGAGTGTCAGCAATGTGACACAGACCATTCTTTTAAATGGTGCATTCACAGGAGACTTCAACAAAGATTTGTTCATGCAGCTGGGTCTTTAGTGTGTCTGGTCTTGCCACAAAACCATGATACAGGAAGTGGCATGGTACATAGCAGACCACTGTTTTAAATTAACACAATCACAAAAGACACTTTTTGTCATCACTTGGCATCCACTGAAAACTCACCAATATGGAATCAACTAGTATGGAAAACTTCACTTCAGAAATTGAAGCCAAAATGGTCCTGTGGAATATGGCTACTAAACAATACAGCAACAAAATTTTAAATTGCAGTGCTTAGGTAGAAGTGATATTAAAATTTGATATGATTTTCAAAGAGAAAATGACTGTTAAACAACATCAATCAGTTTACTTTGTTTCGTGCATTTTACATTCTACACATTTATTACTCATTCTCTGCACAAAGCAAACTAAATAAAAAAAGCATATAAGGCTCATCAGTCCAGTCTGCCTGTCTGCATGATTCAATTCAAGAACCGCTGACTGGATTTAATATGGACTTTATGTCCCTGGCATAGGCTCTAAGATGGTACTTGTTCATTGGCTGGGGCAAAGCCCCCTTGGTGGGGTGGAGAAACAAAAAGTGACGGAGGTGCCAGTATCATGGTTGTGTAATCGCAATAAAAGTCCTAGTGACAAATGAAGTGAGTGATTCAGTTAAGAATATTGGTCACCTAATCCACATAAGTAAAATGCATGTTAATGAAACAAACAGTTTGCATTACGTATGAAATTTTAGTCAACAGTTCATTAAAGATACAAAGAATAGCTTTTTCGATCATGTACAACTGCAATTTCTTTCAAATGTCACTTTTATCAACATCAGTGAATGCAGAAAGATATCAAAAATTTGTGACCTTTTTTCTATGTGGCATTACAGGTGAAGTTAAGTGCAGATACAGTGAAGGACTTGAAATATATCTTCCATTTGCTTAGGTTTAAAGATGCATACTGTATTACACCATGATTCTTCAGAACATTAGGCATTTTATATTTCTGTTGGAATTTGAAATTTGAACTTTATCTCATTTCACCTGATGAAGAGAAGGTACATATTGTAGTTTATATCTAAGCTGGTGTCAGCCGGGCCAAAGGGTCAACAAGGCTGATTATAGCTGCCACTGATGACACAACACCAAGGAGACCAACAGCCCCTGGACTAAGTCGCATGTAGCCCAACGCAGTCAATGGAATCATCAGATCACAGCCATTCTTCACTGTGTCAACAACAACATCCTTGTGGTCTTGAACGAACGTGACTGCTCGCAAACTGAGTGGAAGCGTCTTACGATTAATACCAGCTGCCAAACATGTATGACGTAGAACCTCGCCTGGTGGCACGCCCAATCGATGACCTTCACGCTCAAGGATGCCACATATTTCATAGACATCACGAACCAGATTCATCGTGATTGAATACAGCCAGTATTTGTTGGCTACTTTACCCCACTTTTCACTATTAACATTTATCAAGCCAGTTCGACCAATCCATAGAATATGGTCAGCCAGAAGGAACAGCGCATTGGCTATCTTGGATAACGTACATGTTATCCGCACTGTCACATCTGGATAGTGAATGGATGAAAATGCACCATACAGCATGTCCAGGAATCTACCCAGACGCAACACTGCAAAATGCACAAAGAAACTAACGCTGAAACTCACAATCATAAAACAGCTACAATTACCTGAGATATCTAAACATGAATTATAATATGTGAAATCATCAAAGAATAACCTAACTTTGTGTAGTCTGAGTAGCTTACTAACTCCAAGGTTTTTATTTCTGCAGTTGAACAGTTATTCAGCTGATTCTATCACAGAATTCAATACTATCACCAATATTGTTTTCAATTGCTCTCTATCCTAAGTCCATTCAATCCACATCACACTTTTACAACTCTTCTCCACTCCACAGATTTCATTTAATATGCTCAAAACACCAAGCAACCAATGTTAAGCCTTCCTCCAATGGCCCCCTATCTATCATTGTCAAACTGAAATCCAAACAAACAGAATATGGCTGTCTTCTGGGTTGTAGCACCATATAGTATGGTAGAAGTTTACCAGCATTTCAACGGTTCTTGATGCCTCCATCATTGCCCTGATGATGGAGGCAGAAACGACCTTTTAAACATTGGTAAACTTCTTGCACACTAAATGTTGCCGCAATCCAGAAGACAGCCATCTTCATACTCACCATCGCGGGAACCTCGAGTCCTACTTAACCAGATATTTCGTGCAGATGGCATTTTAAAATCTATAAAATGTCTTCATTTTGTTATTACTGATTGTAGGAAATGAACAGAACAAAGTTGGAGTGACTTCTAATGGCATGATCATACCAAGTTTCACAAAAATACATTAATTCATTTAAAAGTTATCCTGATGAGAGAGCTGAATACATGGTATATGATAGGGTGGCCACACATGCTACGGCTTACCAGAAGGTTTGCGTCTCTGAAGGCCAGCCTTCTAGCAAACCGGAGCGTGTGTTGAATTTGGCCGGAAACCGAGCCTCCAATAAATCTGCAGTTGCTTGATTTTTTTGCCTCGAGGTTTACTGGATGTTTACAAGTCGTAACGTGTGTGGACATAGATGAGGGTAAAGGCAAGGCTTGTAGCATTTAGTCATCTCAACCAGCCACCGAGAACTTCAAATCCTCGTAGTTTAACTAAGCTTAACAGTTCCAAATACATGTCCTCATCCATTCGCAGGTAGTTATGCCAGTCCGTCGACTCTAATCGAATTTCATTCAACAAATTTATGTGAGAATGTTTTGATCCATCTAACCAACTTCTGACCCACTTAGAACGTTTCAGCTTTCTTTTATTTTTCAACATTAAAGTAACAGCAAGACCGATTAAGGTTCCATGACAAAACCGCACATGAAAATTGCACACAGGAAGAAGCTCACTGTCATAAATGCTCACATGAAAATTACTCACACGGAAAAATGATCACAAGGACAAATGCACACATTGATAAATGCTCACACTGACAAATGCTCACATATTCGATTATAATTTCATAAGCCTATCTTCCCACATAAAACAAAGTGGGCTAAAAATAGAGTAAATTGAACATCTCATGGACACAGTTCACGAATCATTGGATTAAAACATATAAGGGTCGTTCTCAAATGATTGGAACTCACCTTGAATACAGACTGACAGATGATTACAGATGTATAATCACACTTCAGCACTGAGGTCAATACAGCATTATCATCCTTCTAGAAATTTCCTGATGGATGCAGCAAACAGCTTTTAGGGACAGTATGCACAGACATCATTCTGCAAGTTGCCATTATTACAAAATCAGCAGTCACACAGTGGCTCACATGTCTCTGTCAGAAAATCCAGCAACAGTACAAACAATTTGCAGGGCAGTGTCCACAAAAGACTGATTTGCTGCTGCATCAGGAAGTTACCAGAAAGATGGAAATGATGCACTGACCTCAACAAGGAGTATCTTAAGTGTGATTATGGAGCTGTCAGCCTATATTCCAAGTCAAGTCCAGTAATTTGTGAAGGGCAATCATGCATAACTGACATGTCTGTTTCTTTCTTGCATATAATTCTAGAAAAAGTTAGAATTATGCCAGCATACACAGCATATGTCAGTGTGGAGAATTATGAATATGTCGTGCATTAATAATACAATTAAATTAGAAAATACATTTATGTATACACATATGTAAACTTACATTTCCTAAATGAACTAAAGGTGTATTCCAGACTCTTGAGTCTGTCTATAGACTGTCTGCTGTGCTGCTTCTGCTGCATGTAATGCCATGCTGCTTTGCTTGCATACTGTAACAATCTGGATTAACAACAATCAAATTAAACACCAGCACAGACAGGTTTTTATGATGTCTTTAAAATAAAGTGGTCATTTACATACATCACATGTGTTCAACTTTTAAACCTGGCACTTGGCTGATCTTGGAGTAAATGTGATTCAGTTTTTTCTGTTGTGCTACTGAAGAAATGTTTCTTGCTTTACTATTATTTACATCCTAACTAACTAACTAGATGGCTTACCAAACCCGAAGGTTCATCACCGAATTAACCAAAGCCCTCCACCGGACCCTGTCCTGGGCCAACAAAAACAAACTGTGGCAATACATTTCATCCTGTTATGGGCTGAAGAGAAGAAAATATATATTCATTGTATTGTAATGCTGTTCAAAATATATTCATATCACATACTGCACATAAAACCGGAATTTCTGGTACAATCCAAACGGTGAGATTCGTAGTACTTAGTGATTGACCTACACATTTTAAAAATAGCAACATACCTTCTTCTTAATTATTTCTTGCAGTATCTGTCACTGTTTAAATTAACCACTACAATCCATGCACATTTGTAAACGTCAGAAAATTAATTTGTGAAATATCAAGACTGTTTATCTCTATTGTAATTGGATTCTAGCTTTTAGTAAATGCGTAACTTCAATTTTGTATAACTCTAATTCGGTATTTATGAAATTTTGCTTCATCATCAAGACGTCACGTCTGTACTCACCGGGCAATCTTGTCTCTTCCAGCAGTTTGACTATTCAATTTTACTATTACATCCATCATCGTAACAGAATAAAAACATAATAAAATTATAAAAGTGCTTGTTATTAAAATATCCACGGTTGAAAATTGTCTTTTACAGTTGCCGGACGAAATAAATCCTTACAGTCCCTTCTTGTAAACACCACCACACTCACACCCATAAATTGTGACCAGAAATCACAGATAATAAAGTTGAAATTTATAACCATTTGTATTCTGTGGCAGAAAGAGTTCGTGGGTTGTGTTCGACCAAGGTCTATTTGTCAAATATTTCTTTTTTGTGAAACACACATCTGTTTCATACTTCTGCGGTTTAGTAATTTTTCAGAAGCGCCCACAGATTACATATTATACTCTGAACAACTGCTCTCAATGAGATTAAATGTGAGGTTAAGTGCGTGTGTGCAAAATTTAATGCAGGATTAGATGTACATCTGCACAGAGAGAATTTTTTATCTTACTGCATTTATATATTAAACCGGCATGAAGGGTACGTTGAGCAGTAGTCCAGTTTCCGTGTATGAAAATGTTACGAAAGAACAATTTTTACATTTTATTCACCCCAAACGTGAACCAGCATTGCTTCGAGGTGTAGACATTGGAGAATGCACATCCAAGTGGACAAGTGAATACATATGTGAGAAAGTGGGCGTTGTGGGCGTAAAAGTCCACGTCAGTTCCAGCCCACAGATGAACTTCATAAACAAAAACTTTCTTTATAAAACATTGCCCTTTGATGAACTAGTAAAAAGGGCATCAACTCCAGGATGTGCAAAAAAAAATCATTTTCTTGTTCCTGGTGAATTCTATTATTTACGATCAGTAGGATTTGACAGGAGAGGTAGGGACACTGCAGATATCAAGAAGCAGTTTCCAAATCTTGCTGGCGACATTAGAATTCCAGACTTTTTTGATGAAAACTGTTTCTTCTCAAGTGTATTTCGTATTGGTTCTCCTGGAGTTCAGCTGTGGACCCATTATGATGTGATGGATAATTTATTAATTCAAGTTCAAGGTCGGAAAAGGATGGCATTGTTCAGTCCCAGTGATGCTCTGAACATGTATCTTATAGGGGACAAATCACAGGTGTTAGACATTGATAATCCTGATTGTCATCTTTATCCAAAATTTATTTTGAGTCAAAGATATGAATGTATAATGGAACCTGGTGACATCATATTCATCCCTGCTTTGTGGTTCCATAATGCTTTGGCACTGGACTTTGGTGTTGCTGTAAATGTTTTCTGGAAAAATTTGAAGTGTGACCTGTATGACAAGAATGATCCATATGGGAACAAGGATCTTATTCCAGCCAACAGGGTAATTTCAATAAGATTTTACTGTTATGTGCAGCAGTTTTGACTTTTACTCCTTATTAATTGGCAAACAGCATAGCCACATAGTAGTGTGATCCAGTGCATGGATGATAAAGGTTAAGATTACAGACACAAGCTATTTGAAGTTACATACATACTGTACTCTACTTCCCTATGGCTTATAAACCAGCAAAGTTCAATACTAACCATATAGTCAAATTAACTGTAAACTAAACAATCTAGACCACCGACATTATAGGAAACAGTACTATTTAATAAAACATTCATTTACTGCTATTCAGTAACACAAGCCAAATGAAAACCAGTTCAAAGTTTTGATAATCGAAACAGTAAACGTTTCTTTTATTTCAGGCCATCCAGATGGTTGAGAATGCAACAAAACTTCTAGACACACTTCCACATGATTACAAAGACTTCTATATTAAAAGAATGATTTCAATTCTAGAAACAAAAATACTAAAATCCAATGAGGAAGGACAGTTTTAAATTACAGAAGGTCTACATCATGTTCTGTTGTATCAGCTGAATACGTATCTCTTACAAATCCACTCCGTTCCTGTTCATATTCTGCTCCTACAGCACTTGAAAGCAATGCTTGTACATTACGTTCTTCTCTGGATCCAAATATGTAGCCATTGGCTTTGTCAATGGCATTCTTAAGTCGCAAGAGGCACTGTTGATCTTGGACATTTAGTGGTATGAAGGTTACTAAACTATAATCCTCCACAAGTGATACCAGCGCTGTGTTTAGTTTTTTGTACCTTCATGACAAAATAATACAATGAAATCAGTCATTGCAATATCTGCACCAAGTCTTATTGATGCTAAAATACTAAAGTGATTGACACAAATCAAGATGGATGGCTCAGAGAGAGAGATATCCATAAGTGGGGTCTGTTTCAAGCTTTAAGTAACTGAGTACTTTATATATAAAGTCTCTGAAACTGATGGATCATGAGGACACATGACAGTACATGCAACAAAAGCATTCAAAACTTCGCCACCATTGTTCACTTACAGTAATGTTTCTCACCTGCGAGTAATGGGATTCTCATCGAGAGATTCTAGCAGATATCCAAGGTCAAGTACTTCTGTATAGAAATCAATTCCAAACTGCATCTTGTCCCCATACTGAAGTACAAGGTCTATCTTGGACAATACATTGATATGTGGCAGCTCCATTTGCAGCATTGTAGACAGTGACAGCAATAATGCAGAGATGAATTTACCTACATACCAATATAAAACAGGGCTCATAACACAAAGCCAAAGCACATGCATTAATATTGGAAGGACATAATTCTGAATATTCTACTCCTGATAGTTCAGGGCATGTCAGGTTTAAACAAAAATTAAAAGTGAATTTAGAAAATCTGTTGCAAAAATTATAACATTTAAAGATAAAGGAACAAACACAACAATGACATTATTATTTAACATATTAACATAAATCAACCATTGCTAAAACCTCAAGATTACGACAACAGAATGTTATTACCATCCTTTTTTAAAAAATTGTTGGTATGGTATTAAATTTTATATAAAATACTGTTATTGGCAAATCTTTAAAAATGTATGTCTATAAATAAACTTACATATCAATTCACCTAACAAATTAACAGTACCATAATTCTTTCTAATTGTAAAAGATAGATATGCTAAATTTTCTCATGTATTTTACATAAGTGATATATGCTGTATTTCATCTATGAAAATCTGTGAAGAGTTAGAATGTTATAACCCATCTTACCAGGATCACTGCAATAATGGGCGTCCACAAGGTGTACTGAACATAAGTGGAAACCGTATTTTAAAAGGTTTGCCGTTATATTCTTCATAGAACTGTGGTGTGTGTACAGTTCCACCTAAAATTAGAAATAAACTAAAAAATAAAAAAGTAACATCATATTACAGGAAAGTTAAGGAGGCACAGAACCTCAAGATGGTATGAGTGAATTGTAGTAAAGGGTAAATGCAGACTACTTGGAACCTCTGCATGTCATTACAAAACAGTACAACACTAATATGTACATGGTATTGACACAGGATTAAAGTTCTTTAAGGAAATGTCAATTCACTTTATTTCACTGTACACACATACACATATTACAACACAAGACTTTGAACATAAATTTAAAAGGAAAATGTCTAATATGGAGACCAAAATCAGGTAAGAACAGGTCTGGATAGATTTCACACACAAAAAATAAAGAACATGGGGGCAGGGGCAAAAATAAATGAGGAGCTGTAGGAGGACAGATAAATGTAGAGGCTTGGTTAACAGACAAACTACATAAAGTGGAAACTTATTCGGAAAAAGAATATTTCTGTATTGTAGCTCTTAACACTTCAGATTGCTTTATAACTCTGAAGAGGTCAAAGCAAATGTTACTAAACAATGAATTACAGATTGCCATTCTTACATTTCTTTATCCAGTGTGTAACGTGAAAGATTAGTGCATGTGCTACAGCTGTGTCATACGTTCAATTCCTTCCAATGCTCATAAAAATGTTGGAATAAATTCAACAAATGACATAGCTCAACATGAAAGCTGATCTTACACAATGAACTACAGTTTTTAATGCCATTCTTCCCATAATACATTCTTCACATGTTAATTTTTTATGTAGTTAACAAGGGTATTAGACAGAAAATCCAGAAATTCAGTCAAATGTTTTATAAGTACCTATGACAGCTGTCCTGTTCTCTCAGGTATCAGCATCCAATGCTTGTGCCTGGCACATGGCTGACAATACTGTGTTTAGTGACAGAAGATACTGTGAAACACTTCAGATAATTCTGTTAAACACACTGCTTCTACACTGTTCCTGACATTTGTTCTTTCTTTCATGAGACAATGGGCATGAAGATTAAACTGTACAATTTCAGATAAGTAATTTGATTTGGTCTATATCTGATTTAATAATTTTTTAATACGAGGTGCGATCGGAAAGTTTC